GAAAGCTCTTCCGCGTGGATTGTGCCGTTTTAGGTCGCGACTCCGCAGCTTTATAATTTGGGTTTTTCGAAGCCGAAGACGCCCCCTCTTGAGAGGACAACGACTGAGTATATTACCTCATCCAGTTTACACAGACAGGCGAACAGGCCTTAAAGCTCATAAGCGCTATTTCTGTAGACCCTTCTCATGAGCGAATGTCTGCAAGCACGCCTTCATATGAAGAAATCTTGATTTTAACCTGAACTTTTCTGTTTTCCGCTAGAGACCAACTTTAAGATGTATGCTGCATAACAAAAAAAGCCTTTTACACATCTTGCTGGGCTGATACATAAAGTTCACCACGTTCGAACTACTTGCGACTAATCATTCACATTTCAGTCCCCGCGTCTCATTGGTTTAGGAATCATTCGACTATTTTAAACAAACAAGGCGCCCGAACAACCTAACTAGGGCCTTTTTGAAAGCGCTTCGATTAATTTGTATATTTTACCGTGAGATGGCACATGGTGACTTCCACAATATGGTTTCGTTGGAGTAAAGTTTGGGTCTTGCCCACAGAGTCAGGAACGCCAGCTTTCACCGACTCTGCGAACGGAAAAATGTATATCCAGGAATCATTCCTTACTATCAAACGATTGAGTTTCAAAAGTATTTTTTTACAAAGCGCTCGCAGGGAGCAACTTCTCAGTCATTCGCCTATAAACGAATTGTTGTCGTTTTACAAACATCAGAAAAAATACCTTTGCGAGGTTCTTAACAATTTCGTTCGGCATGATTCTTCTAAAGCTATCTGACTGAATATAAATTGCGAGATGAGCAACTCATTGCTTATAAATCAGTTGCGGGAGTGCTTTGACGACACTTTATGAGATAGAGAAAGAGAAAGGGAGAGAGGAAGCTTCATTTTGAAGTTTTCCTTCCGATATTTTGAATGAAAACGTTTGGTATACACCAAGGCTATTATACGAGTACCTAACTGGTAAGTAACAAGGGCAAAATAAGTGTACTTGTATCGACACAGCTGTTATCGTGCAAAGCCTACTCTTATTTTCGGGATTCTGGTCTCATTACAGGACAGAAATCGTGCGAAGATAATTTAATTTTTCGTTGCTGCGTCCATGTACGGTAAGAAACTGGACGGAAGGCACGCTTGATTGGAAGGAATGATTCGCAACAGCATGCAGGGCCTGTGCAATACTGACGACAATTGGATTAGAAATTATGTGACTAGTGAAAAATGCTGTCGTATCGCGGTGTCCATAAAAAGTAAACACAGTTGTGCGAAGGATACATCTTAAAATGAGCATATCTTTGGGTACACTAAGTCATTTAATATTTCGATTGATTTTCTTTACTGCAAAGTTCTGCGTGTACTGGGTGTATGTACGTTTCAAATTAAGTTGTGAATTGTTCTACTTGACCTAGCGAACAAAGACTTCCTCTAGATTTGTAAGTAAAGGGCAGCGTGATTTCGGAAAACCACTTGCTTGGTCTTTATTTCTAGTTAAAAATTAAATCAACATTGACCATGTTTTGATGGTTATTTTCAAATTTAAAACTTTGAAAATTACCTTGTTGTTGGCTATGCGGCCAAACCAATTAGCTTCCACAAGGTAGACTGTCGAGTTTGTAGCGCAACTTCACCGTTTCGGCCTAATTAATGATTATATATTGGTGTACGGTACTTATTCATATCGGTAGCGCTGTTCTTCTTTGCTCCGTAGGGTACGGATCACCTCACAGTCTCGCTGAAGGTTGACGACGGCATTTTGAAGCACTTTGATGTGATTGAGAAGGATAAGACTCAAAGTTTTGCCCTCGGACGTACTCTGTTGATCGGGACTGAAGAATTCGAGGACTTGGATGAAATAGTTGCCCGTTTCATGCAGCCAATGGTCTATCTCATCCGTGAAGTTATGACCCATAAATATTATCGGGACTCTCGGGTATGCTTAAGTTTTGTTTTTCCTCATTTGTTTTCTTGCTATGCTCTTCATCTACAGTCTTTTAATTCTCTATTGTGTCCACATTATGCCCCTATTCTTTTTTCCATAGTTAACTCATCCATTTTTGTGAATCGAAGCAATTAACGCGTTGTGATTGTCAAGGTTTAGCATGCTGATGTATTATGCGTCCTGTTTAGCAGTAAGTACTCGTTGTTCTACAAGTAACCACTGCGTCGGGAACGAACGGTGAACACCGATCACCTTATTTTGAAACAAAGCTGGTATACTACTGATTTGACGTTTAAGTAGGGTTTATTTTGTAGGCGAATATCTGCTACTTTCTTTGTTAACCTGTTATCCACTCACGTCCAACTCGCGAGGTCCTTTTGCCCGTTTTCAGCATTTATGCGACTCGTTTTGAAAGCTTTGGCTATTCCCAGAATTCATAGTGATTAAGGAGGGGTAGACGTAGCTATTATCTGTAGACACAGTATTGATTGCACCATCGCGGGACTTTATTTTTTATTAATTAAAATGCATCACTTGTCGCTGCGAGGCCTATAATACTCTGCCTATTTAGGGGGGAATTCGAGATGTCCTCACAGAACTCCTTCGTAAAGAGAAGGAAATCAGCCCCAACCGCATTCCATACTTCCTCTCCGCAATGGCTGAGCACCCGGGATGTTTCCTTATCGCCTACATGCCAAATCAAAGGGCACGCTTTGAGGTGTTCTCTGTAAAACCTGATGGGTTCAAGTTCCGCCGTCTCATGTTCCCCTCGCTGGATCGTCTGATTGGATGGTTTAAAGAACACTACAATGAGGCGGTAAGTTGTTTTTTTGTTAAGTCCGTGGACTGTCAACCGGCTTGTCACTCAATTAGGTTGTTGGATGTCCTACTTGGTTTTATATCTTCCTTTTCAGTCGGCCGGGTCAAAATACGTTGGTGAATTTGGCGCTTATTCACCCAGACAGCTCGGAATATTAATTCATGGCAGGCAGGCAAGTAGCCCTTGTTGGATCCGGAACCCCGCCGGGTGGG